TCTTGTACTTGATAGGTCCCACTCACTTCCCAGCCAGCTTTGGCCCTCACAGCCTCCTCTGTCAGGCCCAGGAGGGCCACAGCCTGCCTTCAGAAGAGGCGGCAACTGGGAAAGTCATGCAAGCAGACTTCCTGTAGGAATCCCATGGCTCTCAGCACTGGAAGCATCCTCCAGCACATTCCAGGGCCCTGGGGCTTCTCCCTCCAGCAGAACTGTGTCACCGGGCAAGGGCCAGAAGGAAGCTTGGGTCTGGAGGAGAGTCACTCGTGTGCACATTTCGCAGCAGTCCTGAGCAAGCACAGTGTTCGTGCACCTAGAAAACCAGAGTGGATGTGGGGGTCACAGGTCTCTGTCCCCATCATGTGTATTAAGCCAGCCTCTGAGGGAGAACTAGGAGGGACGATGCTCCCATCACTGAAGTCGAGCATTGTATTCTGACAACTAAAATTCTCATGAAGTCCCATTATGTCAAAGCCAGTTTCTCATGTGTGTGCTCATAGCATATTTGTATCAGTTCTAGTTTTCCTGACCTCTCGAGGTGATGGAACCGAGGCACATCTCTGAGTGATGCGCCTAGCGTGTCACTATCAAATGAGAACAACTTAGAAACAGTGAGGTCTCCCTACCCGAAAGGACAGGCAGCTGGCTGAGGACACCAGTTGTGGTCAGAAGTCAGATGCTTGCTGTTGGGTTTGTTACTGCGGCATATTAGGAAAGGCTTTGTATCCTCACAGCCAAGGTTGTATTTGTATTCAGGAATTAGAAGCGCCCATTCTCAAGTTATTGAGACAAATAAGCAATTTACACCAAGAGGTCAACACAAAGCATTCATAGGCAAATAAAGTCCTTTTGTCAATCGAAAGTAATGAAAATCAATGATATTCCAAGAAGAAAGTCGGAGAGTTAAAGTGGAGGAGGTGGTGTAAGCGAGGAAGGACAGAGTCCCTGGAAGATGAAGTCCTTGGTATGAAAGCTGGGAAAAGAACACTTCGAGGCAGTCTAGCTTCTGTGAATCTCTAAGGGTGACCCAGCTGAGCCTCCATGTCCTGATTTTAAAAAAGAGGATACTCAGAACTGCTTCGGTGACCTTGATAGGGATCCTTCGATGAGAGCGGGGAAGGGGTTGGCACACACGGGCGTCTGAGGAGATGCAGGTTGTGTAACTTTCAGTCTTCTCAGAAGTTTGAGTGAGAAAGGATGTGGATAAAGTAGGAGCTGGGGTAATGCATTTTCATACAATTGGGAAGTACCACAGCATGGTTTTACACTGGGGGTGAGTATCTCCAGTAGAAAGAGCGAGGATGATAAAATAGAAGGAATTCTGAGGCCAGAGATGGGATCAGCCTCTGGTTCTAGAACGTGCACATCCTCCTGTGGGTGCGGGAAATTTGTGGGTTTAGAGCTGGAGGGATGAGGTGCTTATCCAGGGCTGCCACGATCGCAGTGCAGCTTGAGGTAAAGGAGACAGGGCCTGTGTATGAGGGTGGAGGATGGCTCTGAGCTGACCGTCTTCACGTGGTACTTTTGATGTGAAATTGTGCAGGGGGTGTGTCAGCACCGCCGAAAGCTCCTTCATGTGTACATAAGGCCGTCGTCACAGAGGGCTGAATGTTTGGGTCCAGTGCACCTTTGGTAGCTCAGCTGACCTCTGACTGTGACCTGGCAGACACCTGTGAGTGTTTGGGACTCCTCCGAAGTAATATGTTGAAACACTGGTCTTGATGTTCTGAAGTGGACATTTGAGAAGCAGTCAGTCCGAGGGTGGAGCCCTCATGAGTGCCCTTGTTGGAAGAGGCCATGAGAACACATGGACACCTGCAGTCTGCCACCCCAGAGAGGTTCCTCATCAGAGTACTGAGGGCCCTCTCCCAGCCTCCAGAGCTGTGAGAAATAACCCTTGTCTGTCACCCCCTCTGCAGTCCTTCATTATCGTGACCTGAAATTGCTAAGGTGGGTGTGGTCAGTTTTTTATGTCCTAGAGTCTGAGAAGTCTTTAAGGACTCTTTATCTACCGGGCAGATAATGGAAGTCAAAAGAAAGTGTCCACAGGAGCCTCTGACACTGAGTCCTGCTTCTCAGTGAAGGGGCCAGGTTGACAGAAACCAGAACTTTTGGTTAAGTGGAGTGAACCTGCCATTATCGTTAGGGTGATTGTGATCATCACTACCAAAGGCCCTTGTGGGATGTTTGTGCAAGGCCGGCTGGCCTTTGTCAATTTAGTTTCATAGATATGGCACCTGTCCTCTAAGAGTTTAACAGTTTAGGACAAACAGTGGGCTGGGCATGATGGCACATGCGTGTCCTCCCAACTGAGCAGGAGGCTGAGGCAGGAGGATTGTCAGTTGGAAAGCTTACAGTGATACTGTATCCCAAAATAAAAATTTAAAAAAGGCTGGGCAGTTAGCTTCATGGTAGAATACATGGCTAGCATGTAGGCAGCCCTGGATTCAATCCCTTGCCCCAGAAAAAAAGAAAAATAAAACAGAAAGCAGAGACATTGTAGCTGAGGGGACATACAAACAAAAAAAACCCTGAAAAATTCGATTAACTTTGTAGCACTTTAAAGTGAAGAGCCACACAAGGACTAATTGACACCGTGTTGTCACTGGATGACTGCCTAGCAATAGAATAACAAGGAGGTAGACTTCAAGGGTAGTCAGCATTGCTTACCAAGGCTTCGTGCAGGAATGCTTCTGGGAATGGGAAAAGAATCTGTGAGTTTTGATGTTCTGTGTGTGGAGAAAGATTATTCTAAATAAAGAGTGCACTTTTAGGAAGAGCGATAAGAAAAACAAACCATGTTAAATTAAAAACGAAGTCCTATGTGTCTCCCTGCAAAAAGAATTGGCCATAAATGTGACCGATGAATGAATTCCAGTTTTTCTTCTCTTAGAACTTTGAAACTTATTTTGTCCCATTTTGTGGAGCTAGAACCTTAAGAAAAAAATGATTTGCCACTTGCCTTATACTTGCTCAAGAAGACAGGGTTATTCCTGAAATTATGGTGCTTACAAAAACTTGCACTTTTGGAATCACTGAAAGGGGTGCTGTATTCAGTGTCCCCCAGGGCCTCCCTCATGGCCCAGCCTCAATGTCTGGCCTCTTGGTGAGGGCCAGCGAGCAGGTGCCATGGGGTGTGGTCTAAAAGGCAGAAGTGGACACCTTCACTTTCACCCTCTACTTTCTCATCCTTGAGAAAGTGTGAGTTCTGGGTAACTAAGAGGGAGGACAGTGTAGTTACCGTAAGTCAACACTGTTGTGGTTTGAGAAACTGCATAACATGCAAGCATTTTAAAGTTTTGATCCATTTACATGTTAATGAGATAATGAGTTCGATTTCATCCCTTAGAATCAGGAATGATGCGTAGTATGTGGCTTCATGCAGAAGAGGAGCTTCAGAGCTGCATTTCCCTCTTTTCTGTGTGTGACTCTGTTATATGGACACCAAACAATGCCAATAATGTGTTCTCCGCCCTGGCTACCTGCTGGCCTTAGATCATCCAGATGTCTGTGAAATCAGCACAGGGAAGAAAGCCTAGCAGCATATGGGAGTGGCATAGCAATGGCTCACCGCATGGGGACCTTTTGAGCATTGTTGAATGATGGGTAGAAATGCCACAGCTAATCCTAAATGCGTTATGTGGTTTCACAGAAAGAATATCTACTAATCCTCAGTAATAATGCTATATCATTAAGCTAATAGGCCCCCTGAATATTCTCCACAATAGATGCCTGCTGTTATTATCTGGACATTATCTCCGGACCTTCAGATGACTAGTGGCTAAGGAGCCTAATTTTGTGCAGCTTTTTATCTGTGGCTGAAAATTCCAATTTTCCTATTGTAATCTTTGCCCAATTGAATATATTTTTTCAAGAGTACTCGCAGCCCTGTATAAACTGCTGCCTGACGATCTGCAGTGTATATTGAATCCTAGCAATGCAAGGCTGGCGAGCTATCTGTTGCTTTATCACAGTGCTGCTGGCATGTTCTGCCCCTTGTTTTTGATGATTTTCTATCATTTCATGTTGGAATAAAGCACTTTTTCCATTTTACTAATCATTGTTTTAGGCATTTTCCTTATTCAGTTCTGTATATTAAAATGAGGTTGATTTGTGGTAATAACACAAAATAGTTTGATTTCATTTTCATTGGTTTCTTGAGGTACAGATTCTTCTCGATACTAAAAATCTGGTCCCAGATGCTGAAATCTGCTCTTTGCTAGTTGTGCTACTAAGTAACTTGTTAAACACCTCAGTGATTTTGTTTTTCCCTGGGCCAAGCAAAGATGATACGTCTGTACATATCGGAGGGCTATGAGGATTTAATGTATATCAAATACCTTGGTTGAGCCACAGTAAGCACTGGCAGATTTCTTGCTGCAGAAATATTGAAAATACAGAGTGTGAATTTAGATAGCACATCTAGCTGTCTTACCTTTCACGTTTTGATTGTTGAGAGTATGGTCAAAGCTATCATAACAATGAGAAGAAATTTCTGTTTTAGAAAAATTTGTTCCTCAACCTAAGGTAGAGTCTTTGGTGTAGCAAAGCAAAATTCTTTTTTCATAATTTGATACATAGGTCAATATAGTCCCTTATGGGTTATGAGTAAAATACAAATAAATGCACATTACTGTTTTTAATATTAAAGATAGAGCTCGTGAGTTCAGGACTCAAGAGGGTGGTGGTGAGGGTCTGGTCACATGGTTAGAGAAGCACCAGTGACCCTCATGGCCATGTAACTGTTCGGCATCTTGACTGTGGTGGTGGAAATGGAAGCTTCTAGGTGCGGTAAAAATCATATAGAACGAAATATACATGGATAAGCTGGGTGATCTCAAAAGGTCTGTGAGCTGTGTTAATATACTGCTTACATTGTAGCTTGTGGGAAGTGAATGAAAGTTTTCTTAAAACTGTGTGAATCTCCACCAATCTTAAAATTGTAATTAACAGATCAACGCAACTACCGTATAAAACTAATGATTTTTGTTTGTTTTCAGATCATCTCTGCCCGATTCATGCACAGTACCTTTGGCCTTTGTAAGTTGATATTTCTATTTTTTATCCTTCTTCCTAGCACTTTGTCTTAGAGTACATTTTGGTGGGGGTGTCCTGGAGCAACAGGAGGAATAAAACTTTATTGTTTTCCTCATATATTTTATGTTAAGATCTGTTTCATTTTTCTGATGCTAGTAGGTAATAATTATTTTGAAAAAGTTTGATCTACCCAAGTTGGGCCAGGAATATCTATTTCTTTTCATTTTTGTTTTTGGGGAACAGGGTCTTGCTGTGTAGTTCAGGCTGACCTTGAGCTCACAGAACCCAGGCTGGCCTCAAACTCCATGATCCTCCTGCCACAGCCTCTCAAACTCTGGATTAGAGGTGTATACTACCATGCTTAGCAGTATGTGTTTCCTGAGGACTTCATTCTGGGGTTATACTAGGTGGGACCCGAGGGCCACCTGCAGAAGTCAGGTTTTATATGCTTCCAATCTGTTGGCTATCACAGTCTTCATCCAAGTCATCTTTGTGGCATCTTTGATTTTGATACTGACTTAGTCACTTTCTTCCTTGCTGAGACAAAATATCCAACACCCAAAATTAAAAGATCAAAGGTTTACTGTAGTTCACAGTGTGTAGAGGTTTCAGTTCATAGTTGGATGGCTCCAAGGCAGGGTGGCATGGCAGACTCCAAGGGCTGCGGGCATCATAGAGGAGAAACAGTTGATGGTGGGGAGAAGGCAGGAAGACAGCAAAGTACTAAGGAAGCAAACAGCAAGTGACACTCTTTCTGTCCTTCTGTTTTATCAGAGCTACCTACCCTTGGGGTGGGTATCACACCTACAGGAGGGCATTGCACTAAAAATCAACCCCACCTCACGTCCTTGATTCCAGCAGCATACACCCTGGATCCAGCCCCCTCTGAAAAGTCCCATCTATGAAAGCATAAGATTTTGAGGGGACATCTAAATACAAACCATAACAGATGCACAGGGATTGAAATATGCTATACCAATTTAGAAGACACCTTTCACTGTTTGAAGATGGCTATTTTTCATCATCTTAAAAATACAAGGGACTACTGTTATAAAGTAATGTAATAAAGGCTTGCATTCTCTGACAGTTACTCAGTATATACCTTGATTATTGTTCTAGCAAGTTCTGTTCTATTTTCTATTTTAAGCTGCTTGTCTTGGTTACTTTTCTTATTGCTGACACAAGATACCCAAGATTGAAAGTTTGAGGAGCAAAGTTTATTTAGTTTACAGTTTGTGGAGGTTTTTTTTTCTTCTTCTTCTTCTTTTTTTTTTTTTTTTTTAGTTATTTTTTATTTTTTTAAATTTTTTTCTGTGGCAGTTTCAGTTTGTAATCAGCTGGCTTTGAGGCAGGGTGGCATATGTTAGAGGGGCAACTGTTTATGGTGTCAAAGACAGGAAAAGCAACAAGAGCAAAAGAGAAACAAGTTTCTTTTTGCCCCTTGTATCTTATCCAGACTGCTGAGATTAGGGCGGTGCCAATCTAATCAGTGATGCTGATAGCAATCACTCACCCTAATTCTAGCACCCTTAATTTTAGCATTGCATTATGAATCAGTCACACACTCTAGGTTCAGCCACTTCTGAAAAAGCCCCATCTAAAAGTACATGAGGCTTCAAGGGGACATCCAGACACAATCATAATACTGCCAAAGAGACACATCTGTACTGTGGTCTTTCCCAAAGTTCATGCCTTTGAATGTTCATTCCTTGGGCTGTTAATTGATATTTTATGGGAAATGACACTGTGGTCATTATACTAGGGGGAAAACTGAGTTAAAATTAAACTAGTTTATTTCCGACCACTGATTTTTCTAAAAGTGGTTTTGGTTTGTGGTGTTCCTCAAACATTTGACCATGTGACCCATGTCATGAAATACATCATAGGACTGGTGCTCCGGAAAACATTTGGGAGGAAATACTGTTTTAAAATTTAGGCAACTGGTATAGTTGACAGGATCAGTTGTACTTTTTTCCCAGTGAGAGCAAAAATGAATGACATTTCGGGAGAATAGAGGAAGTTGTAGTATAAAAGAGTCATTGATCAGCTGACAAAGCCATATCTAAATAATTATGATAAATATAGTTTTAAAACAACATAAAAATTTAAAATCTAAAAAGAAAAATACATGGTATATTTTTCCTTGTCATATTATTCCTTGCTTTATCCTTGATTATTCAGTTCCTGGGTCAGCATCATTCTCTTCAAGGCCAGTGTATCCCAGTTGTTGGTGATTTTAAGGTTATGTAGAATCCTTCCAGTATGTCGGCTTCTGGGTTCCTTGACTACCTCTCCTTCAGTGAGCTTGACCTCCGAACTATTTCTGCCATTTCCTCCCATGGGTATACTGTGGACCTAAGTCACTAATAATAGCTGCTTTCCCTCCTTGAGCCCCGAAACTCCATTCTCCCCAACTCAAGCACATCTTTAACTCCACCTAGGCATCCTCCACGTACAGTGCGCCATGCTTCCCTTGTATCTCACGTCCTTCCCAACTAACTCGGCATAAGTAGCCGACCCTAATGTTAAAATCAGCCACACACTCTCCTTGCTCGTCCTTCCCTCTTGGTTTGTGTAATTTGCTGGAAGGGTCCCGGTGCCTCCATCTACCTGGTCCGTGCTGCAGCTCTCAAGTGGAACCAAGCTGGAGAAAAGCAGCCAGCCACGCTCACTGGCCTGACTTTGACCGATAACTTTAAGTGGGCTCCTAATGTTTTCTGGTAATTTGGACAGTGAATTCCTAAAGAACTATTTAAAACTCTTTACATAAATTTCCAAGTCCTCTTCTCGATTTCTCCCTCTGATGATCCATCCTCTTCTGTTTATTCAGGGATAGTGCTCTAATAGTTGTCTCTTCTCCATTTTACTTCGAAAATTAACACCCATTCCTCTCTAGCTGCCACTCTATTTACTTTCTCTACTTTTGTTTACACAATTTCTCAATCTTTATTCCCATTTTGTCTCCCCCACCCCATTTTTATGTACTGTGTTGGAATCAGGACCTTCACAGAGGTGCATCCCAGTTCTTTGCAACTTTTTTTCATTTTGAGACAAGGTTTTGCTAAGTTGCCTGGCACTTTTAGTTCTCCTGCCTCAGCCTCCTAGAATGTAGGCCTGCACCATCACACTTGGCTCATTATGTCATTTAAATCAGGCTTTGGTTCCCATTGTTCCATCGGAACTCTCAAAGCATCACCAGTGACCTCCATAATGCAAGTCTGTCAGCTAATTCTTACTTTGACCAATCCATAACCCTGACACAAATGATCATGCCTCTCTGTGAAGCACTTTCTTCCCTTGTCTTCAGAGTCATTGCACTTTCCAGCTGCCTTCCTGTGGCAAGGCAGGATCACTCTGTTTTGTCTCTCTTTGTAATACCTCCTCTTCTGCAGGAGCGCTCTGCTCCCTGACTTCCAAATGTTGGCTGTCTCGGCGTATACACTATGGATATTTCTTCTGTCTGGGTTCACCCCCAGCTAATCTCATTCATTTTTCTGAATTTAAATACACATATGCACTGGACACTGCTCATCCCCAGTGTGAACTTCTCTGGATTCCAGATTCAAACATCCAGCTGCTGACTCTGATCCTCAAACCTACCAAGCCTTCACCTGGGCTTCAAAGTCTCCTTTACTTCCAACCATGCTGCCTTCTTCCCTGGTCTTCTTCCTCTTAGTAAATGGAAGCTAATCTTCTAGTTGCGCAGGCGAGAGGCCCTGTCACCGTTCTCATCTCTGCCTGATCCCACTTTCTGCAGAGCCGGCTGTCAGGAGATGCTGTCAAGCCCACCTCGCAGATACCCCCACTCCTCTGCTACGGTCCTGCTACCTGCCGTCGACATCCACTTACCATAATCCCTTCTAACTGGTCTCCGTCCTTTTATACTTTGTCTCCTCTAACTCATTTTCCAAACAGCCAGATAAATTATTTAAAAGTCTGCTGTAGGTCTGCTCATGTGTCTCTCCTGCTCCAGTGTTTCTAGGGCTGGCTCCTGTCTCATTTAGCAGCACCTGGGTGATACGGGCACTGTTGCCTCTGGCCTAACCTCTTGCTGCTCCCTTCGCTTACTCCCTGAGACACACACAGTTTCTTACCCCTGCTTCACATTTTGCAGTTACTATTCCCACAAGTAACCACGAGTGATTGCTTTACCTGCTTCAGATCTTCCCTGAGTTTTTACTTCTTCCTTAAATTATCATTTTTTGCTCGCAGGCTTCCCAGGCCAGCATATTTTAAATTGGCACCATTTTCCTATCCCTTCATTTTTCACCATCTGATATCATATTTTTTGTGTGTGTCCCTTTCACTCAAAGTGAAGCTCTTCAATGGTAGGAATTTTTGTGTATTTTGTTCACACTGGTGGATCCCAACTCCTAGATGATTGCCAGTCAAATAGATCCTCAGTAAATACTGTGTGTATGTAAAACAAATGTTAAATAAAACTCATTACAGTTTGGCTCCCATTTCCCAATATACACTGCACAGAAAGGGAAGGCTAGAAGAGGGGAAGGATTTAGTAGCTACTGACTTTTCCTAATATGCTTTTCTTTTGATGGAAAATGACTCAAGCTAGAGCACCTTCTTATATATAAAACATTCATGCAAATATGAGAGATCAGGACCTCTACTGAGGAGGCTTCTACTTCCAATAAGAGAACTGGATTTATTCTCCTGCCTGAACTGGGGAAAAAGTGTTCAGACACTGAGCAAGTGGCAAAAGACAGTGAATGCAGAGAGAATTAAAATAAATGATTTGGCCCAGACTGCAGTGCAAGAAAAGGAGCTTCATACAACCTGGTGATTCTGAGTTGAGGTGGTAGAGTTAGCAGTTCAGGAAGGTTGAGGCAGTGAAAATTTGAAGGCCAGAGTTACAGAGAAGAGAGAGTTGCACCAACAGCGGGTTCTAGTAGGACTTCCTTAGAGTTTTCAGCTGAGTGATGATTAATGCATACATATAAGGTAACCACCCAAGGCTGAGAAAACATCCACTGGGAAGAAAAAGT